TTTCTCAGGTACTCCTTTCCCCTAAAAGTCTCTTACACAACTGCTGAAAAACTTGGCTTTTCTGTGACAACATTTAACTGCAGCTAACAAAGAAGAATTCTCATAGGTAAGTAAATGAGGCACTGGAGTATTTTATATCACTGGAGAATAAATAAAATGAGGAAAGTTTGCCCAATTAACGAGAGAGGGAACAATGCCATATAATTACAGTCTGCCTACTGCATAATGAGGTCTGATATGTTTCTTTTTATAGATACTGAACACACAGTACTGACGAGATGCATCTCCAGGGTCAGAATGCAAAAGGGCTGGCATTAGCACACTGAAAGCCACAAACAACTTGAGAACAAGGAGTTCAAAGAAGTCCGATTGTCTCCCAAGTCCTAAAATGTCAAGCTCAGAGTCTCACCTCGGACTGCAAAACATTCCAACAACAAAGTGATCAAGAATTTCGGCAGTAAATGGCGGTTTCATTTTCCATCTTGAAAGCAAGTTTAGCTTCCTCAGGTTACACTCAGATGCTCTTGGTTTCACAGAAACAAGGCGTGTTCCAGAGGACACCATTAATAACATCAATAGGCTTATACTAAGCTGAAGATACACTCTATCAGAATTAGCAACCTGTGCGGTAGAACCTTAACCACAAACTGAACAACCTGTGACACTTTCCTGGCATCATAAGACTGGTATCAGTGTCCTTCAGTTCTCCCTCTACACTTGGAAATGAAGGGGTTTTTCAAAATGTGGTTAGAATTTCAAATAGCAAGCTTAGAAGAGCCCATGAAAAAATGCAAATAAAAATAAACAAACCTTTCGGCTGCGCTGGCAAAGCAAACGGGACACGTTGCAGTGCATCCAGCTTTCTCACATTTCCTGTATTTCTTTTCTGATGCATCATCATCATCATCTGTTGCCTCGGCTGCTTTCTTCTTCACCTAATAAAGAATAGCTGAAATCTGACCAGAAACGACACAGATGTGTTTTCTAACAGAGGCATACAGGCAGTTTTGCATCCTGTGGCATGGCATTGAATAAAGAACACAAACCAAACTTTCTGAAGCCACTGTGAGATAGCTGCAGCATGAAGCAGCTGTCAAATTGGGTCATTTTTTCTATCTCTCCCCCAGAAAAAAAAACAGAACAGTAAAGATGAAGATATCATTTAAAGCTAAAAATGTCTTGCCTTAGCTTAACTGATACCATTGAAGAAATTATAAGCAAAGCCTCTGATTTAAATAGCATTTTGAGCTCCATCACATGCTAATGAGTCAAGCCTCAGGCATTCTTTTTATTCCACCTTCAGAAAAATTTCTCCTTCACGTACTTACTGATGTTAATTAGCTGTGATCTTATCTGCACCTCAAACAAAATATTAGGGCTGGTTTGGAGGAATATTTTTTTTGGACTTCAGATACAAAACTGTATACCAAATACCTCTTATGGGCTTCAGAGATGCTGTGTATCACATTAATTTGGGTCTTGGACAGCCTGGTTCAGCTGCACAGAAAGCCCTGGTTGTATTTTTAACACATCAAGAATTTTCAAGTTATACAGAGCATTTGTCTCTTCCGAATACTGTTGATAAAAAAGCAGCTTTGCCTACTTCTTCACAGAACTGATTCTCCCTCTTCCTGCAAAAACATTCCATCCCTGAAGTATCCACAGTGAAACACCTTCTTTATAAGTGTTAACAGAAAATAAAAATACAAGAGTGTCAAATTGTTATAAATACCTGTCTTCCAGAACTCCTCAGAGGAAGGCTGTCTGGAGACTGCTCAGAAGAACATGCCTTTTTCTTTGTTCGTACCCTTCCAGCTGACATTGTATTATTAGACCTGTAAAGAAAAAGGTAGGGAGCAGTTAAGAAAAAAGAAAAATAAGAATTGGTTGAATTTGCAGAGCTATCCAATCACCTGGACGGCACAGCCTCACTTACACTGCTTCTCCTGTCAGAGAAACATGGACAAGAATCTGCTCAGCCCACCCAGTAACTCAGGGTGGAAATGAAGGTGGCGTGATGGGGAAATGAACAACGATCTTATTCTAAACTAAATTCAGAGTTAAGATTAGATCCTTGAGTACATCTTGACGGACTGTTCCAGATCAGCATACCCTGGATTTCAGTAATCTGATTTGCATTACGTGATGATCTGGACTAGAATTAGGGTCAGCAATGCGAGTAGACTTCAGTTCACAATGTGAGCTCTGAAATCCAAGCCTTCACAGTGCTCTTCTCCTTGACAACTGATTTATTGGTAGCAACAGAACTGCGTGGTACAGCACTTTTATTCAGATGTTCACCACCAAATGAAACACCAGTTCCAAAACTGGGATTGTTTAGATTGGAGGAGACTCTGGAGAGACCTTATAGCTCTACCTCTGAAAGGAGGTTGTGGCTAAGCGAGGGTCAGCCTCTTCTACACAGCTGGTGAGAGGATGAGAGGTAAGGGCCTCAAGTTGCACCAGGGGACAGGGGTTGGATGGGAGAAAGAGGGGTCAGGCACTGGAATGGGCTGCCCAGGGAGGTGGCTGAGTCACTGCCCCTGGAGATGTTCAAGAACCATTTAGACGCTGTACTGAGAGACGTGGTTTAGTGGGGAAGTATTGGTGGTAGCTGGGTGGTTGGACTGAATGATTTTGGAGGTCTGTTCCAACCTTGGTAATTCTATGACTCACACACCCTCCTGTGAACGTGCATCAGAATTTAGGGTCTAAACAGCAGCAGCTGCATTGTGATGTTAGTTAACTGGGAGATCACAAATGCAGTTACTAAACTGCTTCAGGAGAGAAGTTCTACACCAGAAGGCAAATCCATGCTTATATTTAACTACATCCCTGGGAACAGGAAGAAGGCCACAGTTCATCATGTAATCTGGAAAGCACGGAGTATGAGAAAGTACACTGCAGAAATGGGAAAGCATATGTAAAACATTACAATCAAAGGTATTCTTTTTGCAAGGATTAAAATACAAATAAAACAGCTTGCAGGAAGAATTAAATCTAATTTACCACATGTAAAGGAAACAGACTACGGCACTGAATCATGAATGCTATCTTGGTGTAATAAGGATCAGATTGCAATTTTTTATTACTATTTTTATGTATGTATTTGAACTATATCTAGGATTTCTTTCGGTTGTTCCAGGCTGCATCCTCCTCATTCCAGCTGACAGCATGGAGTGCTAGCAGTGGCTTCGTTCACTAGCTCTCCTAAGTAAAGGTAGCAGCAAGAGAGAATGGGAGTTGTTACAAAGTTTCTGCTCTCCAGGTAGGAGGAACTGATTTGAGTGCATAAGGGGGAAAAAAGAAAATCACAGGATAGCCACAGATGTGAGAAAGTAACTGAGCTCGGGAAGCCAACTCAAACATTAACTTTCTTTTTTGTATGCAAACATTATATGTAACTAGAGGGAGAAAAGATATATCTATTATTATGCCAAAAAAGCAACAGCAGTCCACCATCATATACTCCACCGTATGGAGGTGGTGGTGGTTGGAGAAGAGAAAGGAAAGCCAACTAGTGCCACTCAAATGACATTTCCCAAAAGCACCACTTCAAGCCCCAGGAAATGAAAGTCAGGTTTTGCTGACAGGGCTGTCCAGTAGCACAACAGTCACTGAAACACAGAATGGTTTGGGTTGGAAAGGCCCTCAAAACCCATCCGGTTCCAAATCCCTGACAAGGGTAGGGTTGCCACCCCCACCAGCTCAGGCTGCCCACAGCCCCATCCAACCCGGCCTTGAACACCTCCAGGGTTGGTGCACCCACAGCTTCTCTGGGCAGCTGTGCCAGTGCTTCACCACGCTCACAGTGAAAAATCTCCCCCTGACACCTAGTCTAAATCTCCCCTCTTTTAGTTTGAAACCATTCCCCCTTGTCCTATCAACGTTATCCTTGTGCATCACCTCTCTATCACCTCAGCCTCCCACGCCAGCTGATCATCTCTCGCAGCCAGGCAGGGGCTGCAGGCGGTCAGAGCCCATCCCAAAGTCAGAGGGGAGTATGCAACCCCATGTATGTGGGGCTGCGGGGAAAATCAAAAAGCAGCCACTGTCCACTGAGAAGTTTGGTGAAAACGACGCTGGTTCACAGGGCCTCCCGCCTTGATAGGCAGAGAGCAGATGTAGGGAAGCACGGATGTGTTTTTGTCGTGGATGCTGCTGGCAGGGGATGAGGCAGAAGGTGGAGAAGAGGTGGGTTTGCAGATATAACTGCTTTAAGGCCATTGTTTCCAGCTGTACACCGCTTTGCCTTTGCTTCCCCTCTCAAAAGCCCCACACCTCCCACTCCCGCAGCTTTCTCAAGAGCAGCGGACACTGCCTACTTCGCTATGCTTTATGTGACTCTGCGCACCCTACCATCGCAGTGCCGGAGGAAAGAGACCCTTTAAAGGGGAAAGAGACACACATCCCTACGCTGTGCCACGTTCCGTACCGCTTCGTCCCCTAACGCCCGGCCTGTGCGGGGAGACTTAACAGCAAGTTTGCACTGGGGGGGGTGGGAAAATAAAAAGAAGGAAAGAGAAGAAAATAGAAACCACACACACACACAGACACAGCCCACACCCAGGAAGCGAGAGCAGCCGGTGAGCCGCGGCCGGGCGCAGCCCCAGCGCGCTGACAGCAGCCGCCCCGGAGTCCCCCGGCCCTGACAGCGTCCCTGGGGCGCTCACCTCGGGTCCGGCTCGCCCGGGGGCCGGAGAGCGCATCCACGCGTGCCCGAGCCGCCTCCTGCTAGAGCTGCAGCGGGGAGAGAAGGGGGGAAGGATGGAGGGGGGGGCGCGGCGGTGAGCTCGGGGGAGGGCTGCGCCTGCACCTGCCCCGCCGCCGGGCCGGGGGCCGACGGGCAGCGGGGCTCACTCACCGCCGCGGCCATCCCCAGCGCCATCCTCCTCCTCCTCCTCCTCCTCCTCCTCCTCCTCCTCCTCCTCCTACCGGCGCCGAGCGCCCTCAGCCCGCCTCCCGCCGCCGCCGCTTCCGCTCTCCGCGGTGCGTAGAGAGGGAGGCGCCGCCCCGGGCCGGCCCCGCCGCCGTGCAGGTGTCGCCGCTGGGAACGGGCGCCGCGAGGGGCTCGTCGGAGGGCAGATGGAGGAGCCGGGGGGCTGCGGGAGCGAGGCGCAGCGGGAGCGGGTGCTGTCCGTAGAGGAATGGCTGCGGAAGTGGAGCGCGGGTGCCACCGCCTTCCATAAGGAGCACGGGCATCCGTAGGTCGCTTCGCTCTTCGGCCCGGGCGGAGGGCTGGGGGCGGGGTGAGAGGCTCTCGGTAATAAGTGCGGAGCTTAGGCAGGAAAAAAGATGGGTACAAACACGGCCTGAAACTGAAATCGTTGTTGTCACCTACATTTGTTTGAAAACGGCAGAGAACGCCCAATTCGCGCTGCGTTTAGAGCCTTTACTCCTTAAATCGTGTTCTAAACGATGAGCTTTAGACGATTTGACCGAAGCCCCGCGCCTGCTGAAGCGACAACTCCACGCTGCTGCTGGGTGTGAGGGGTGGGACTGGACCTGACTGCGGGGCCTGGGGCAGCGACTGTGCTGGGGGACGGGGCCAGGGTGCAAACCCAGCCATCATCCAGCGGGAATTGCCTGAAAGGCGTTTCTAGAGGAGTGGTACAGCAGTTTAACCACACTCTGAGTGTCCCAACGAGAGATGGGATCATTACATGGGCTTTGTTACCTGAAGAGACAAGCAGAAAAGTGTCCCTTGCTAGCAGAAACTGAGGTTATTTTCTAAGAAAATGGAAGGTGAATTTACTTATTTGTATTTTGAATTGTATTTTTGACTATGAATATGCAAGAGTTTGGGCACTGCCTGGCATGCTGCACAGCACTCTGTGCCAGCACCCACAACCCCTCCTAATGCCTCTGTTCCCCTGCAGGCTCCTACAGAAGCACCTGGACCTTCTGGTGGATGGCAGGAGTGGGCTGAGGATATTTTTCCCTCTTTGTGGTAAAGCAGTCGACATGAAGTGGTACGGAATGGCAGGGATCGTGACTGGAAAGCCCTTACTGGTGTGGGGAGGGAGAAGGGAAATTCCCAGGCCTGTAGTGGCTGGTGGAAACACGGTGCTGAAGGCAGGTTGAGGGGAGGAAACAGTGCTATTCATTTGCTGGGAATTTAAGTGATTTGGGCTAAATATATATATATATTTTTTTAACGCTTTTAAAATTTTACATTCACTTTCTTTTTTTGGGGGGGAGGGAAGGGTTATAACAAATAATATGGGCTGCAGAAGTCCATGTGGTTGCAGGTGGGAAGGAACACAAACCAACCCCCCCAGCTGAACCACTTCCCCATGGAATCCCAACAGCCCATGTTACCACAGTCTGTGACAATGACTGCTTGCTGGGCAGCATGCAGGCTCTGCCCCACCAGCCAGACTGCTGGGCCACAGGACAACCTGGCTGCCTCAGCTCCTGCAAGAAAACATCTTTGTGCAAACAGCAATAGGTTCTCTGTTTCACCATCCTCGCTTTCACCAGGTTCATAGGAATAAAGGAATAACCAATTGGATCCAAAAAAGCCTTCGAGCCCTCAGCAGCCATATGTTGAGTGCTGCTAATTTAAACTCAGATTGCATGGGGGTAGTGTTCAATAAAATATGAGAGCTCCAGAAAGTCAAGGTGAGTTGCACCAATCCATCCTGAAGCCGGAGCCTGGGCAGCATTTCTCTATGAACACATGGTGTAGAGGAGATGTTGGTGCACTGAGCTGCTCACACAACCTCGGGACTTCTGCTGTGCACAGGCTGGCAGACATGGGACACAGCGTCGTCGGCGTGGATGTCAGCGAGCAAGCGCTGAAGGAGTTCTTTGCAGATCAGGGTCTCCCTTATCGTGAAGAGCCAGTCCCAGGGATCTCAGGAGCCAAAAAGTTGCAGGTATGTCTCTTGCAGTGCCAGACACTCTGCTGTGTTCAGCCATGTACTGCAGGCACAACGGAGCAAACAAGTCCTTCTGCTTTGTGCCTCTGCCTTACCTGCAGTCATTCACTTCTCTTTTTGAGGTTTGGAAGGGAGCACTGGACTGAGCAGTTCTTCTTTTCAGCGTGGTTACTTCAGGCTTTTTGAATGACTCTAAAAGGCCTGAACATGAAGTTGACAAAGTAGCATGTTTTAAAATTGAACAATTGCGTGCCTCAACAGGCCAGAACCTCTATGGAAAGGATCAGGAGAGGCACCTCAGTTAAAACAAATAAATACAAAAGTATAAAAGGTTTCTCGTGGGTTTCCTTCATTACACCTAAGTGTAAAATGTATTTAAAGATGTAGTTTCTGATTAGTATTTTTTCCCTTGCTTTTTATTTTAGAGTACCTCTGGAAACATTTGTCTGTACTGCTGCAGCATTTATGATTTGTCCAGGTAGGAATGCACGGAGTTTTCTACAATTTTTTATAACCAAACATGGCCCAAAATTGCTGGAATTCAGGGGAGTTTGAGCTTTTGGACAACGCTCTCAGACATAAGATTTGTATTTTGGATGGTGCTTCATGAAGCTGGGAGTTAGGTTTGATGATCCTTGCAGGTCCCTCACTCAGGATATTCTGTGACTCTATGATTAATACAGTCCAATCATGTTATTTGGACCAGCCTGTTGAGCCAGAACCTCTAAAGAAACCTCTTTTTTAAACTTGTGTGAGAAATGTGAATGGCCATTATCTAACAAAAATCAACTGTCACATTGACCATTACGTAAAGATGCCGACCAAATACCTTCACATGGACTTGTTCTAAGCTGTCCTCTAAAAGTCATACAAAACCACATTGGCTTTTACAGTAAAAACAAATTATGTTCATTCTCACTGATGGATTCTACAAAGCGAAATCCTGACTTGATCTCTGAGTAGCTTAGCAAAAGTGACAAGAATATTAGAGATATTGCCTTGAATAGTACTAAATATACTTTTAGTACTAAATATACTTTTCCTCAAAACTATGCAATTCACATATTTGTGGGTAAGCTGTACCCACTGATTATGTGCCCCATGCTTTATGAAACACACTTTTAAAAACGGACTTAAAGTGTTTTGCATCACTCCCAGTTTATGACACTACGTAATATATTGTCCAACAGTGACTCTCCGAGTGCCTTTACAAACATGGCTCAACTTACTCTAAATTACTCCTACTGCTATAATATCCTTATTTATTATTTCTTCCTTATTAGTTAAAAGTCACAATGGCAAATACAGAATACTTCAGCACCACCCACGCTACTGAATCCTGAAAAATATTGTGGCCCTTTGTTCTCTGCATCCTCTGGAGTCGCTTCTCAGACCTGGTGCTGGCTTTGCACCTGCACAGGTGTCAGTGGGTGGGGGATTTTGCAGAGCACAGAGCTGTGCAGGGACTCTCTCAACCTCTAGCACAGGAGGCTCTGCCTTGGGCAGTAGTGTGTCTTGCCCCAGAAGCCTCCTGGTGGTGCTCACCACAGATGTAAGTCTGTCCTCGAATGTCCTCTGGTCTGCACCACTACTTGGGATAGCTGGAGACTGCAGGCTGTGCAAGGAGATCAAGGCTTAACCTTTACAATGGATTGTTGCTAAGACTTTTGCTGTTGCAGCTGACTTCATTTGCTTTGAATGTTGTGTATATAACCAGCCTTGCAAAAGTGAATGCCTTGGAACAGATGGGCTGTATACAAAAGCGACTTTGTAGATACTGCCTGGTTTCCTCCCTGCCTTCCCCCCTGTGACAGAGCTACTTGCTGTGCTGGTTCCTACATACCCTTCTAACCATGAGCTGACAGGTTACCCAGGGACTGCTTGAGTTCCTCATCTGCAGTTTTTGAAAAATCCAGTTCCAAAATTGGTAGCAAGTAGCATGGTGAGACCCATACCTTCCGTCACATTGCAGTGGAATAATACTGTGAGATTAACCAAAAATAGGGAACTAGTGAAATTTTGAGTTCATGTCTGTTGGGCCCAGTACACAGGTTTGTCACTCACAAAATAAATTGGCAGATACACATCCTGGACATGGGGCTCTGTGCTGAGTGCTGCTGTGGTGAGAGTACAGACCTCGTTCCCTACAGCAGTCAGCAGGTAACTGGGACTGCAAATGCACGTGCAGCTCTAGTTTCTATGTACAATCACCCAGTAATTATGGAAATTGAACTTATTTCTCTCTTGCTGAGGCTGGCCTGCTAACAAACCCTTTTGATCTCCACGCCTAACAAGCACTAAAGGAAGTCTCAGGTGTGCTGGTGACCTTTGTCAGAATGAAGCATTTCAAAGCCTCCTGATAGTTAAAGAGTGACAGCAATTACTGCTTTTGGTGGGAATTCTGGGAACTGTGGTGAACAGTTACATTGCACAATGGTCGTGTAACTGCATTAGGACACAGCTGCCAAGCTTTGAATAAATAAACAAAAACTGCTTCAATTGAATCTACTAAACTTCTGCAGAGAGAGCAATTTGAATCTACTAAACTTCTGCAGAGAGAGCAATTCGTAACGTTATTGCCTAGATGAAGCAGGATTTCTGTGGTATGTGAATTCCTGTATTAGATGTTGATTTTTATTGATTTTTATAAATTGTAGTAGTAAATAGACTGCCATCTCTCGTGCTGCATATTGTATAAAGTTGTAGCAGGAGGCAACGTAAGGCTGAAAGTTGGGCACTGAGATGTGTTCCTAATGTTCATTAGGATGAAAGTCAGCAGTGTGCCTTTTCCTCCTTTTCCTCGTGGCTTTGTTCTCCTCAGAAGAGAGCTGAGTGCACAGAGAGGCAGGAAGCACCCAGATGGCTCAGCAGCCCAGAGACCAAATGCAAGGAAAGGTCACAGCATGAGGCTGCCTGCAGCCTGCCGTGGCTGTAGTCCCCAGTGAAATGGTGGGGAGCAAAGTACTTGAAATGTCTGCGTGGAATCACTGCTGCCATTACAGTTAGACCAGATTCAAGCTGGAAAGAAAAATCAGGAGCAAAAAAACAGCAGAGTGTTTCCTGAGGTCACAGAGCAGGCTTGTCTGTGCAGAGAATAGCCTCCCAGCCTCAGATGCTTGAGTTTGTCACCTGCCCTCCTCATCCCCACTTTATACTTAACTGTCTCTTTAAAACTCTCCTTTCTTATAGAAGAACTGATTATTTAAATTAGAGTCTTAGTCTTGGCAAGCTTTGAAAGAAGTTGAGAATTTACAGTGTTATCATGTCTCATCGCAGTAGAGCAGGAAGTACAGGAGCTTCTAGGTTAGGTGCCAGAAACTCGGCAGTGCTGTTGCAATGAAATGAGCAGCAGGGCAGGCAGAAGTGAAGAAAAATGATGCAATGGGACTCAGGCATTCTCCCAGTGCACAAAATGGTATTGCCAAGTTTTATTTATTTTTTTTTCTCTTTAAGTAAATGTATTTCAGACTTCTAAAATAATGCAGTTTATTATTACAATACTCTTTAATTTCCAGTTTTAATAACTACCAGAAACAAGGCTCTTTATACCCCTAAACATCTACTTTAACACAGTATTAACAAAGGCATTTTCCAATAGTCGTGGCTACGTGCAGGCTTTGGGTAGTCCTTGAAGCCATCTGCCAGCACATTCAGGGGCAAATAATGCCTGTGGCAGCATTAGACTGAGGCAAGCATCAGCTTACCTTAGCTTTTCTAAGATTGAACAAGTTGCAAACTGCAGCTCCCTGTCCTGGGCATGTAGCTGGGAACTGAGGTGTTAAGAATGCCTGAGTGTGTCATATTCAACAGCCCTAGTGCAGGGAGGTGCCTTCTCTAACTTGTGTTGGAAATCATACGTGGGCTTTAGAAGTTGGCCATAAACTGTCAGCATCCCAAATATCCATCAGTGTTGCCTCAAGGATTATACTGGAGTATAATTGCCGAAAACCCAGACTCAAATCTCCAAAGTATTTAAACTAACCTCCTCCTCCTGCTTGTTTCTGCTCCCCCTAAAGAAAAGGAAATGCTGAGCAATTCCAGCACCTCATGCTGTCGTAGCAGGACAGTGTATGGGAGGGTTTCTGAAGAGCCCGTTAGTGTTGTTTGGAAAATGCTGGACCGTATCTGCAAACCAGGTCTGCACAGATAGCTGGAGACTGCTTGTGACTACACAGAAGTATCTGAATAATGATAATGTAACCCTATTGCTGCATTTAAGCTTTTTCCTTTTCTTTCTATAGTGCAATTGTTGGCAAGTTCGATGGGGTTTGGGACAGAGGAGCTCTGGTGGCTGTGAATCCATGCGACAGGCAACGGTTAGTGAATTTGCTTGGCTGTTACTTTTCCCTGCTGTATCCAGTGACACTTTTGTTCCCTCCTGCCACCCGGGGATGAGTTCTCTCTCACTCAACAAAGTCACCTAAACATGTTTTTCTCTATGGCGAGCTGCAGCTACAGAGCTCTGCCCTCTCTGTTTGTGAGCTTCCTTCAGGAAGCCGCCCTGCCTCTTGGTGGGAAAATAAGTGGTTTGCTGCAACCCAGCACAGCAGAGCTGCACGTCTCATCTGAATTTTATTATTTCCTTTTCGCCCCACCTGCTTCTCTTGCCTCTCTTTGTTTGTTTTCTCCTTGCTTCCCTTTATTTTTTTCCATTCTTGCCCATAGCCAACCCGAATTCAGTTTGAGGCTACCCGGCACATTTCAAAAGATTGGTCCTGCATTCTAAACCATGGCAGATGAACGCTGTGTTTTGTCTGTTAGTTTTGAGATGAATGTGGGAAAAGAGGGAAATGATTGTTTATGGAGAGTGCACAGAAACCTTTACTTGGGATGCTTCATGAGCTGCATGAATTTCATGCTCACTTGTTTCTACTTGGTTGCTGTGCAGGTCAGTTCAACTTGTCTCTGCACAGGAACACGTTACCTTATTTGGTGGACAGTTTGAATGCTATGCTTCAATGTTTGTGCTGTTCCAAAATAATAAAGTATGACTATCTCCTTTTAGCTATGTCACCTTGATGAGCTCCCTAATGGAGAAAAACTCTTCTTATCTCCTCGTTACAGTTTTATATGATCCAACCAAATACAACGGTGAGAATTTCGCGCTGCTCATGTTTTGATTTTGCATGTATGGTAATACAAATTGTGGATAGATGTGGTAGATACCTCAGTATTGCTTTTTTATCAACAGTGCTTTGTTAGCTGACTGAGTCAGTATGGTTCTTTTAGGTGTCAAGGAAGCTTGACCCTTTCCCTGTGGCACTCAGATGTGCCAAGGACAAGTGAAGGAAAAGCAAGATATATTAACAACGAAATGAAACTGGAAAAGTGAACGCTTAGAATAACATCATACCCCCTGTCTGGCCTAGGGACCTCACAGCACTTCTAAGAACACTGATCACCTTAGACCCTTGGTTTATTTGCCCAATACTTGCAGCCCAGCGTGCTGCACATCTCGTGCCTTTCCCCTTACTGCTACCATGGTCAGAAGATGCCTGGAGGAGGTGAAACTGTAACCCATGAAGTATTTTTCCCTTTTATAACTTTTATTATGTGCTACTATGTCTAGGTTTTCATTATGTTCGTTATTTTCATTATGTTAGCTACTGCCTCTCAAAAGAAAGAGATATCTTGCTTTTGAGCTCTTGGGCATAATTATCCTTCAAAGAATAGGTCTTGTTATCATTAGTCACAGTAGTTTCATACACTGCTCTCCCTCTCACATTATTCAGCTTTTAGCTTGAACTATGCCATTACAACAGACAGGGATTGTTGGCTAAATTCACACATTGCACTGAGTGGACAGTGGTTGTATCCATGGCATGTTTGTGACCTTCCAACTCCTGACAACATGGCTGCCCTGACTGCAGCCTGGAGGTAACAGCAGCAGCACCTGAGGCTACCTGAGGTTCCACCATGGTGTTTTCTGGATCCCACAGGTGGGGCTGCACACAGAGGCTGTGGGTGCTGTACTACAGATGTCTCCTTCCCGTGTCTCCTCACTGATTAGCTTCACCATTTTCTTTCCAGGACCACCGTTTTATGTTCCTGAATCTGAAGTTAAAAGCTTGTTTGGTAAGTAGTATTTCAGCACTTTTTTTTTTTTTTGCAAAAAAAAGTGTGTATCTGTGTGCTTCTACCTCTGCAGCAAGTGAGGGAATCATCTGCTTGCTTCTTAGATAAGAGATTGAGTCACAGAACAGTAATAAGGGAAATAAATGCCATGCTGTCACAAGGCTTTTGCTGTCAATGCAGCTTCTCAGCTCTTGAAAAGACATGAGGAAAACCCGAGAGGCAGACACTGTCTCTTTCCTTGCCTGGCATCCGTTCACCCTCTCAGGATTCAGATTGCACATAGTGACCCTGTAGCTTCAGTCCTGCTTGACCATTTCACCTGTCTCTGCACCTCATCACCATCTGCCCTGGCTTTTTTATATAAGGCCTTTGGATATTGGTTTCTGCTGCACTTTTGCAAACAAAGAAGAGAAATAAAACGTCATGCTACAGAAATGCTAAACGTACAACTCCATTGCATTTGAAAGATAATGTTAGAATTGTGGCAGGTATTTAGTTTCAAACGTTCTTCCTGATATCCCATGATATTGTACTTCTTTTAAATGTACATCTTTCTGAGACCTCTGAAGTGTCTGTGTACAGTGAGTCATTGTCATGGGCAGTTGGGTCCCAGTGCAAAAGAGACAGGTAAGTTTCCCTCAGTTGATTTGTGTAACACCAGTAGGGACCAGGAGATCTGTGCATAAAATCTTGTTTTCTGATGCCTTACTTTCTTCAGTGACTTCCCATTCTTTGATTAGTCGTTCTTTCTTCCTTTTCAGGCAGCCAGTGTGAAATTAAGTGTCTTCAGAAAGTCAGTGAATTCTCAGAGAGACACAAGCAGTGGGGACTAGATTATTTTCTGGAAGCAATATATCTAATAAAGTTTGTAGCTTCATTAAAATCAGTTTAAATAACGCACCTCCTGTGCACGGGAACTGTTGAGCCACGGCCTGAAGCACTGATTGATCACCTGAGGCAAGGACTGGGGTCTGCCATGGAGCACAGCTGAAGGCAATTTAGGTGTGTGATCAGAAGGGGTGGAGCCTGGCTGCAACTCTCCTAGACCCCATGTAAGGGCTGACTGCCACCAGGAAAGGTCTCTCTCTGGAAATGCCTCCTTCTGGAGTTTTCTACTGTGAGCCTGGGACGTGGGTGAGCAGTTCATTTTTGATTGTCTCTTTCCACTGTGATAATCTTTCTAACTATAAACCTTTTGAATACCATCCTGACCACACCACTCTTCTAACTGTACGTTTGTTATTTGCACACTCCTGCCTTTCTTTTATGCTTGTCTCATGTTTTAAATGCTTTAAGGCACTCTTAAAGCAGGTTTCAACATACAAAAAATGTCTGTGGAACATCTTTGGATGATTTTGCTTTCAGAGTCAGCTCTGACTTCACAGCTGACTTCTGCCTTCAGCTGTGCACAGCTTTCCTTAAAGTCCACGTATAAATAAGTGGTTTTAAAGTGTACCTTTTCCTTCTATTATCAGCTCATGTAGTCAGAAATTAAAGAAAAAATAACTAAGGTGTCTTCTCTGTGGCTGCCAGCAGCTGCTGCCGGGGCAGAACTCTGGAGATCTGTCCAAGGGAAGCTTGTGAGCACAGAGTCATGGCAGCTCAGGTTCAAATGCTGCTTTTTGTGGTGCCAACAAGGGCAGCTGGGGAAGATCAGTGGGCAGCTGGCACAGTCTGCTGTTCTCCACCTCTGTTAACAATTACACTTGTATGATTACAATGTGGTGTACTGACAGTAATACTAGCACAAGAGGAAAAGCCACGTGAATTTTTGAAGTTGTAGACCAAGAGTTGTGAGTCTCTGGGACTGATGACTGTATGTTCTGATGATTTCATAGAACCATTAAGGTTGGAAAAGAGCACAAAGATCATCTAGTCCAACCACCAGCCAAACGTTCGTGCCCTCTAAACCGCACCCCTCAGTGCCACATCTGCCCTGTTCCTGGGTACCTCCAGGAATGGTGACTCCACCACCCGCCTGGGCAGCCTGTTCCAGAGCCTCGCTGCTGTTCTGAGAAGAAAGCCTTTTTCCTAACACTCAACCTGAACCTCCTCTGGCACAGCTTGAGGCCATTTCCTTTCATCCTATCACTAGTAACCCAGAAGAAGAGGCCCACCTCTGCCTCGCTATAACCTCCTTTCTGGTAGCTGTAGAGAGCAGTGAGGCATCTGCTGAGCTTCCACTTCTCCAGTCTAGAGAATCTCAGCTTCCTCAGCTGCTTCCCTTAAGATTTGTGCTCCAGACCCCTCACAGCTTCACTGCCCTTCTCTGGATGTGCTCTAGGGCCTCAGTGTCTTGTAGCGAGGGGCGCAGCAGCGAGCGCAGTGCTGGGAGTGCAGCGCCACCACCAGGCTCCATTACAATTCTCAGCATTGCTGGTAGCCACGGAGGGCCACTGCTGCTTTAAGAACCGAAAAGAGACGTAACCTTGTAGCCAGAGCAAGCTGAGAACTGCTCATCTGGTACATTTTTGCTTCCGGGCAGTGAAGTTCAAGTGCCTCCTCTCAGATTAGGTGTGACAGCTACTAGGACTTACCTGGAGCTCGTGGACACGTGATAGCTGAGTGCAGTGGAAAAAGCAGCCAGTGGCCATTAGTATAAAATATTTTCAAAGGCTTCCCCGAACAGCAAGAGCAATCGCGTGCAATTGCGCCCGCTTCTCTGCCCGATACAGGGCACGAAGAGCAGCAGCAGCGCTGCGCCGACTTGCGCGGAGCTGCCGAGCGCGGTCTGTGGGCGCCCGGCGGCGGCGGAAGGAGGGGAAGCTCCGCGCTCCGCGCCGCAGCCGGCCCGCAGGGGGCAGCCGCCGGCCCGCTGAGGCCCGCCGGGTCGCGGCGGGGATGGCGGAGGAGGCGGACGAGGCGGAGCTGGGCCTGCTGGAGTGCCGGGTGTGCTTCGAGCGGTACGGCCCCGGCGGGGGGCGGCGGCCGCGTAACCTGCCGTGCGGACACGTCCTGTGCCGCGGCTGCGTGGAGGCGCTGGGCGGCCCCGAGCGGCGACGCCTGGAGTGCCCCTTCTGCCGGCGGCCCTGCGGCCTCGGCGAGACCGGCGACTGCCTGCCGCTGCTGCAGCTGCTGGAGCTGCTGGGCCCCGGCCGCCGCGGCCCCTCGGTCCTCGGCGGGGCGGGCGGCGGCGCGGCTCCTCCGCGGCTGCGGCTGTCGCTGGGCGGCTGGGGGTCGCTGGTGAACCCCACGGGGGTGGCGGCGTGCCGGACGTCGGGGCGCCTGGCGGTGACCCACGACGGCAAAAAGAGGATCCACGTCTTCGGGCCGAGCGGGTCCTGCCTGCAGCGGTTCGGGGAGCGGGGGGACGCGGGCAACGACGTCAAGTACCCGCTGGGCGTGGCGGTCACGGCCGACGGGCACGTGGTGGTCGCCGACGGCGGGGACCGCTCGGTGAAGGCCTTCGACTTTGACGGAAGGGGGGTTCTGGCCGTGCGAGAAGGGTTCTGCCTGCCGTGGGGGCTGGGCGCCACCCCCGGGTGCGACGTGATGGTGACGGACGCCGAGGCCGGAGCTCTGTTCCGCCTCACGGCTGACTTCGGCGCGGGGCGGCTGAAGAAGTGCCAGCTGGTGCGCTCCAAGCTGACCAGCCCCAGAGGGGTGGCCGTGTGCCCGAGCTCGGGTGCCGTGGTGGTGATAGAGCACCTGAAGACTGAAGGACCGAGCGGCTGCAGCACCCGAATGAAGATCTTCAGTGCAGACATGACTCTCGTTGGCCAGATGGATAGCTTTGGGCTGAACCTCATCTTCCCCTCCAAAATATATACCACGGCTGTGGCCTTTGACAAAGAGGGCTGCATCGTCGTGACCGATGTCTGCAGTCAGGCTGTGATAAGCCTGGGGAAACCCGAGGAGTTTCCCATCTTTAACCCTCTAGTAAGCCACGGGCTTTCTTATCCCGTAGGACTAACTTACACGGCAGACAACTCCCTCGTTGTTTTAGACAGCGGTGATCATTCAGTGAAAATATATAGCTCTGCTTGAGTGGGCTTAGAGGTGTTCTGCTACTGGTTTGAGCTGCTTTTGGCTGCCAAGTGTGTGCACTGCTGGTGTTCAGAGGCATGGAGGGAGGGAGGATTTCCTGAGCTTTACATGAAGTGAAATTGCCCTCTTAGACCAATGTACTGTACTTCCCATAAAATGTACGCCAGATCCCATGCATGGCTGCAGGAGACATCGTGGCTGCTGCAGACCTAAGTCAGCAATGAACCAACCAAGCAATTAGGAATTTTAGAACTATTTCCTATGCTGACAACCAAAAATTCATACTATGTATTAACAACAGCATTTGGAATGGAGTAATCCAAAATCTGCACCTGGGATAGAAAAGGATGCTGCTTTTGCTTACTGTTATTCTGTTTTTGACAGATTTCTGCATGACAAAAGACTCTGACTTGATGATAGGAAAAATGGCAGCTTCAGCTCAAGGCCAATTGATCCAGCCATGATCAGTCGCAATACATGAGCTATTAGCATTCAGTTAGTTATACGAAGTGAAACGATGCTCAAAGCCTTTTTGTTTTTCTTCTCCATATTGGGGAAATGCACTTCTGGGTATGCCCTTCTTTGTGTGCATTTCTTACCACTTTGTTGGTGTTTTACTGAAACACAGCACTTCCCACATATCGCATGGATCCACATCTTCACTGAGGTGTGTAATTACTGGCATGTGTGGCTTTCCCTAAACGCATCTCCAGGTACTCGTGTGTAGACCATGGGTATTTCTGCATCTACGGAGTGGAACTGGCCATGTTAGTAACGCAGGTACTCTTGAGAGGTTTCCAGTACTGCCTGCATCTTGAAATGCAGGCAGTAAATGAAATTAATATGGTACTTCTGCACCACTCTGCAAAATTCAGTTGAGATGTTGAATGTTGGAGAGGAGTAATAAGGACAAGGGGGTGAGAGCCTTGCCTTTTCTAGCCTACAAAAAGTATTTTGCTGACAGCAGATAGCAGGTTAACAACTCTGTATTTTCTTGAAAACCATTTTACTGTGGATGTGAGTTCTGTTGCCTTACTACAGCACGGGAATCCAAGCGTATGTGCATTGTTTTTAGAACGATATAACACACCTACTAGAACTCACTGCTGCATTCTAGGAATTCATGTGTTTCTAAAATAATTACCTAGATAGTTCAGCACTAAAAGAAGGTTACATGTAAATGTGTCTTCTGAGGTGGAGACAAATAGATTAAACTAACATAAAACTTTTATGGATGTATATTTATTGACTGAAAGCATGCCTATTAACTAAAGCCACTTCAAGTTCATGGGTAGTGTTTCTATTGGTTAACTTCTCATCTAGCTTTTGCTCAGACTTCTTGGCCATTTAATAACTACTGTATTGCTGTATGAATACCATGTACGAAATATTTCAAATTGGAGCAATTTTGGCCCTTAAAGTCAATGTATTAAAGCTCTTATATTCAGGCTATGTATTAATATATCTTCTGTTAACATTTATAAAAGCAAAGCAAACAAGTATATTAAATACAGCTATTTGTAAAGGTTAATTGGACAGTGGACTGGATGTCAAATACCCATGGAGTTGGATACATTGGAATATGAATAAGAACAGATGAAAGTGGGATCCACCAGTATCTAAACAAATTGTTTCCACACTCCTGAGAATAGGAAGAAGCCAAGACGTTCCTGTTTTTAAGAAAATAAAATTCTACATAAGTCCTAGCTGAGGGTTTGTGCATCTATTTCTTTGGGTATTATGGGGAGATGCGACAGGCACATGGCTGTGACTTTTCCCTTGCGCGTCAGTGCAACGTTTTGATTGTAGACCAACCAGTGTTTGGCAGGGGGTTTAGCTGAGTGATTGACAAAACCAAAAAACACTGAAGGCTGTCAAATAGAGCGACCACAGGGTGTGCTTTCTTGGTCATTCAACTTCAAATCTCATCCTCTTGGATTCATAGCTTATGGCGTGGCAAAGAGGCTTGCTCTTTGCAGGAGAAAGAATGAGTGGCATAGACTGCCTGTGCAGGCTTCCAAGCTACTTTTACTCTGTCTCCAGCAGCATTTACAGGGTAACTGCAACTAACTACGTGACTTGTCTACAAAGTCCAGGACTGAGAAGACCTTGGGATCGGCGGAACCAGTCTGCTGCTATCACAACCACAAAAAGCCAATGTTATGTCATTTGGTTACTTTAAATTTATTTTTTTCCCGTAACAATTACTGCAAATGAAGCTGCAGAGGGGCC